GAGAGAGAGAGAGAGAGTCCACCAAAGAGATGCATGTAGAACTGGAGCTTAGAAGGTCACTCTGTGGGACTACAACCACCCAGCGTTACACAGTCACTTTTTCAAGCTGCACTTGGAATATTATGGGAGGACATGCTCAGTTTCAAGTATTTTTTTTTACTCTATTCCTCTGATCAACTCCCCTCTGCCCTCCTAAATGATTGAAATCTCATAGAATCATAGAATTGTAGAGCTGGGAAGAGATCCAAGTTTTATCTTGTCCGACCTGTCAATGGAGGGATATAGAGGTAAAGCTTTCTGGCCATCTAACCTCTTCCTAAAAACATTCAATAGCGGTCCGTCCACTGTCTTCTGAGGCAATCCATTCCATTGTTGAGCACCTCATACTGTCAAGAAGCTCTTCCTAACATTAAAGTGAAATCTCCTTTCTCCTAATTTGAATTTTTTTTTCTTCCTCTCTGGAGCCACGCTAAACAAACCTGCTCCATCTTCCATTTGACTGGTATTTGAAGTTGGCTGTCATACTGCCTCTCAGTTTTCCCTTCTCCAACTAAACACACCCTCAGCCATTCCTCACAGAGCATGGTTTCCAGAACGTTTACTATCCTGGTTCCCCTCCTCTGGGCACATTCTAGCTTGGCAACCTTCTGAAATTGCGGTGGCCCGTATCTCTTAGCTTCTGTGAAGTGTCCTTCATTCCATCACCATCCCTTCAACTCAAATAATTTAATGTGCAGGCACAGGGGAGTAAGGGAAAGCTTTCTGCCAGCCTTCTCTTCTACAAGGAGATGGTGAGGTGCAGAAAATAGAGCATATGTAGAATGTGGGAGCAAGCCTTAAGTTCTGATCTGTCTAAGGTGCTGAAAAAAGGCTTTGGACAGCTCCCGAAGGCTTTGGTGGATGATTAAGAGGATTAATTCTGTTGGACTCTTTACCTTCTGGGTTTATATAGCTGCCTGGAGCATAATTTGTCTTACTGGAGGCCGCTTCTGCCAAGATTCATTTCTGCACACAGATGACCCAAGGGAGGTACTGGGCTTCATCACAGGCGGCACAGAAATTAAGAACACTTCTTTTCTGGTGGAAGATAATTTTTGTGTGAATGCTACTATGTAGGATCAACATGGCCATACATGGAGAAAATGAGGGGGCCTGTACTGGATATGATCATGCAAAGAATTACAGGCGTACCTCAGTTTACAAAATTAATGTGTCCTCCAGGGCATTAGGAAATGTGGAAATTTTGTAAACCGAAATGCGGATTGCGCTAGGAACGGGAGCGGCGCTAGAAACCTCCAGGCACAATGCGTCCTGAGGAAACCCTTTCGTACATTGGGGGCAGAGGAAAGGAGAAAAAAAAACATAAACCAGGGCATTATTTTCTATGGATTTTGGTTCGTGAACTGAAAATTATATAAACCGAGCTGTTCATAAACCAAGGTACTGCTGTATTGCCCAGCTCAGCTTATGATCTTCAAGTGTCCTGGCTGCAAGGGATGTACTGTATCTCTTAGGTGCTCCATGCACACTCACACATGCTTCTGGCTGTATCGCCCAGCTCAGCTTATGATCTTCAAGTGTCCTGGCTGCAAGGGACGTATCTCTTAGGTACTCCATGCACACTCACACATGCTTCTATACCAGTGACGGCAAACCTTTTTGGGCCCGTCTAAGGTGGCAGTGGTGGTGGAACTGGAAGTGGCGGCAGAATGGGGGACTCCCGGGCACAGAGGTGCCTCGAGACCCCACTCCAGATCTGCCGCCATCGCCAGATGTTCTGGATCCTGGCCTAGGGAGAATCCCGGGCACAGAGGTGCCTCAAGACCCCATTCTGGATCTGCCGCCATCACCAGATGTTCCAGATCCTGGCCTACCACCTCTTCAGGTTTGGCTGTGGGAGGGGGGGGAGTAGCGATCCAGCAACTTATGCCTTGTGTGCCTGCAGAGAGGGCTCTGCGTGCTAGCTGTGGCCTTTCCATTCAGCAGGTGGTTACTAATCTAGGTAGTCCTATTTGTACTTGTGCATGTGAGAACTTCTGTAATGTAGTCTATAGTCGGAGTAGAACTTAGAAGACCTGGGTTCAGACCCCAACTTGGTTATGGAATCTCTCTCTCTCTCTCTCGCTCTGTTTGTGTTGGAAGCCAATTGGCAGTACATAACAACACAACCTTCTGAGGTTGGTAAAATGAGCACCCAGCTTGCTGGGGTGGGGGGGGAAGTTATTGTTTGCATAATTATATTGTAAACTGCCTAGACAATGCGCTAGCACTACAGGAGGGTCATATAATCCAAACAACAGCAGCAACAACAACTTGTGCCTTTGTGTGTGGAAGTGAGAGGGTTGCTTAAGTGCAGCATTTTTAATTTGTCTCAATTGACCTTCATCTTGTCAGTTCCACCAGTTTTCAATTTTCTCATGGTTAATTTGAAATATTATTCCTTTCTTTCTACATCGACCCTGGCCTCTTGTGTTAAAACTGAAAGTGGGCTTGGGAAGGAAGGGGGAGAGTGGATCAGGGCCACAACGATGGGAGAGTGGGAGGAAAATCTTTTGCCCTGTGCTGTTTTCCAATTTGAATGTATTCTCCCTGCCTCTAAAGATCCTATTTTAAAAAAAAATGTAGTGGAAAATACACCAAACAAAAATAAGTTTATTGCGTGGCACACAGGCCATTGCAACATACATCAGATAAAACAATACAAGCAATATAATATAGTCCTTTACAATATAATACAATACAATATCTAAAGCCATTTGTAATTAGAAAATACACAGGTATCTTCAGTCAGGAAGGGCAGCATTTGTACACAACAGCTTTTCCATTTAAAGCCTGAATGAGTAGATACCAGGAAATGGTCGGGCTTTTGATTTTCATGTATTTTATAAGGACAGGCTGCAATCAATATGTACCTGTCCCAGATAATGAAAATGATGGCCAAAGCACAGGTATTGCAGTAGAATATACAGATTGTCTCCTAAGAAATGACCTTAAAAGCCCAGAGGCTGTGGTCAAATAGCATCTGTTCATATGACTCAATCCCCTTGTCCACAGGATAGAACTGGCTTGCCGAAGGTAGATCAAGGCCACTCAATGGCATTGACTCAAAGGATGATCTAATTTGGCTACTGTTTGCGATAAGCATCTGACACATTTCATGGGTTGTTAACTCGTAGAAATATAGGAGGTATAAAACGAATCAGCAGCTGCCCTTTGCTGTATACGCCACAGTTGCATGATGCAAATAAACTGGGCAATCTCTATTTGCCTGACTTTGGCAATACCCTTTTAATTTTAACTTTATTTCCTGGTTAGGACAGAACCTCTTAAGATCTGAAATATTAGCCATTTCAAATATCAGTCATGATTGAGGAAATCGTATTGTTCAGTCCTGCTTCTTTATCTTGGGCCAGAGAACATGTTGCCTTCCTCTGGTTACAGGACCACACTTCCCATCATCCTTCACTGTTAGCTAACTTGGTTAGGGCTGCTAGGAGTTACAGGCTAACAACATCTGGAGGACTGCACATTTCCCACCCATTTTTTACCCATTGGTTTAGATGTGTCTTCTGCTGTTTTTTTACCTCTCTCAAAAATAGACGCCCTGTTTATGTTTTGTGAGGTGCATGTGAAATCATGGGGAAATCATGTATACCACCTTGACTGCCTTTGGGGGAAGGCCAAATGTAAATGTTAACAAAAAAAGAAAATAAATATGTTTAAATAAAGAAAAGAAATATGTATCACATTACACTCAGTTTTGACATTAAGAGGTAGTAACATACTGATGTCTAGAGATGGGATGTTTCGATTTTTGGATGATAGATCCCATAATTCTCTATTATGGAAGTACTATCTAACAGACAAACATTTTACAAGTTAATGTGGCTTTACTGGAGAAAGGCTTTAACTTGAAGGCTTTTGAGTGTGAGCTAATCCTATTTAGAAAGAAAGCCTCCTTCTGATAGTGGGGCAGGAATGGGAAGTTTTAGGCGAGCTAGGCCTAGCTTAGCCTCAGATCCTTCCAGCTGAGACCTTTCTCTCAGATGAACTACATTTAGATGTCTGTAAAATGTCTCTCTGTCAGGTAGAACTTCTAGAATGGAGAATTATGGGATTTTGTAGTAAAAGAAATAAAAAGTCCCATGTCTACCGATGTCTTTGGAATGGATCTGTTTTCTGCAAAACTGCAGTGAAGTGTTGAGATGTGATGGTAGACGTTTGGCCTCTGGGAACTTGTGTTTATTTATTTATTTATTAAATTTATACCCCGCACCTCTAGACCCAGGATTGCCACTCCTTCCTCACTTCTTGATTCTGGTGATCATTGTTAAATCTAGAATGGGTGAACTATGGTAAGTAGGAACCATTGTTTGCCTTCAGATCAAAAGTGAACACCATGGCACAATCTGGGGTTCCAGTTGTCGTTTGAAGCTAAACCATGCTTTGTGATGACCATACTTCCTGTCATTTAACCGACCAGATAGGCGGGATATAAATAAAGTAAATAAATAAATAAACTAAAAGCAATGGCTATTGCAGACTCGAAGGTGAGGAATGATGCTAGAGGTAGAGGTGAAGACATACAAGTCTAATGGTCAGCCATGGTTTGACTATAATGTCTGAGCTACGATGGCCATCATTTAGGTTTTGAAAGGGAATTAGTCAAGCCCATGCACAAAAACCTGATCAAGGGCTGTGCAGTTCTTTCAACATCAAATACAATATGTCTTCGCATACTCAATGCTGTGGAACACGGGAGTGTTGTTGTGCTCATGTTTTATCATGGGTTTCTCTTAGGCATCTGATTGCCTTCTATGGGAAAACAATGCTGGTCTAGACAAGCTCTTAGTCTGTTATAGTGTGACTTTTATTTTGTTCCTATCTCGGTCATAGTTGTCTGCTTGATAGCTTGCTGTCTTGTTCTTCTTTTGTTGCCATGCAATGTTGCTCCAGTACTTCTTGCTGTAACTATTTCTATTTTCATTTCCATGCATTAGGTTCTCGTCCTCGCCTTGAGGATTCGTCTCCGCGGATAATAGAGCACCCTTCTGACCTCATCGTGTCCAAAGGCGAGCCAGCTACCTTGAACTGCAAAGCGGAAGGCCGTCCCACCCCCATCATCGAGTGGTACAAGGATGGGGAGCGGGTGGAGACTGACAAAGAAGACCCTCGGTCTCATCGGATGTTGCTGCCTAGTGGGTCCCTTTTCTTTCTGCGCATTGTGCATGGACGGAGGAGCAAACCGGATGAGGGGGTATACGTCTGTGTCGCCAGGAACTACCTCGGTGAGGCAGTCAGCAGGAATGCATCTCTGGAGGTAGCCAGTAAGTAGAATTATGATCAAGTGGGAGGAACGTCCTGGTGACTGAATTGACATCCCAAAGATTACATTATGCTTACTGTTGGCTTGGCTTGTGTACTTCTGATGAGTTATATCAACCCCATGAGCAAGGTGGGTTGGAGATCCTCTTCTGTATGAAGCAGCAATTGGCTAAGAACTGTTACCAGAAGACAGGGATGTTCCTGGTCTATGGGGAAAGCTGTAGTATATGCAGGGATTGCATTTCCAGAAGTAGGTGTGGATGTTAAAAATAGAAATGCAGGAATGCAACCACATAAAAAGAACCCTGCTAGACTAAAACATTTTGTGATCCAGTGTCCTATTTTTCGCAGTGGCTAACATTATGCCTATGGGAAGCCGATAAGCAAGATATGCAGACACATAGGTTTGAGAGTCAGGGGCATGCTGCCTCCAGTCCTGGAAGAAGCACATGTTGATTGAAGAAGTTGGAAGTATCCCCCCCTCTCCTTCTGGACTCCAGATCCCAAAATTCCCTGCCATCCTGGCTGGGGAATTCTGGGAGTTATGGTCCAAAGAAGTAAATTTTCCAAGTTAAGGTTGATCGTCATTGATAATAGTCATTACGAATGTGATCCTTCATGAATTTGACTTGCTCCGCTTCGAAACCCTTCAGAAATTGCTACATCTTGCAGTTGCAGATTGCTTGGCTTCACTATCCTTTGTGCAAAGTCATGCTTTCTTTTTTGTCTTTCCTGAACCTGCCATTCAGCTCCCTGCATGGCCTGGGCTCTAGTCTGATGACAGAGGGAGACCCAACGTACCTGCGGTCTTGGCAATATTAGAGGAATCGAAGTGGGATATTTCGCTTTTTACTGTTGGTTGTTAAGCATCTGGACAAAGAAATCATCCAGAGTTCTAGGTTTTTTATGCGGCCACATTCCCCCACACACACTTTCTAACAATGAGAAGATAAGCCAACCCAGAGTTGATAAGTCTCTTCGCTGCTGGTTGTAAACCTTTCAGGCAAACTTGCCCCTCAGCATTCCTGTCAGGGCTTCTTTGGTGTGGTGTTCATTTGTGGAGCAAAGGTCTCCCGGAGGAACAAACAGCCGTGTGAATTGTGGCCACAGGAGAGATGCAGGTTTGTTATTTATCTGCCCTGACCTCAAAACCAATCTCATGCCTGGCTTTCCAAAGCACTCGCAACCCCATTGTCTTTCTTAATGGTTTTATGGAGACAAAGATCTACAAACACACGGTGCGGAAAGCGTTCAGGCCTGCCGAAAGTGACAGAAGAATGAATGATGGCTTTGCCCTCAGACAAGGCCAAACACCCAGGAGCAGAGGTTGGGGGGGGGGGATCGAGCACTATTTCTTCGGAGTCCCTAACCTTTTCAAGTACCTCCCAAGCCCCATTTAACATTAGCCCAAGTTCTTGAAATGCTGACGCGGGATGTGATCTTTGGCCATGATTTGTGGCTATCCATAAGAGGTTACCGGCCTGAAATGAAGCTATCAAAGAAGTAGGCTGGAGGTAATTGGTCAAGATGTGGAGATCAAAGGGAAATCTATAAAATGGTTTCTAGGAGGCTGATGGACTAGGGGGGGGTGTTTCAGGTTTGGGATGGGGAGCCATTATCTCAAAGGCTGATGTTGTGGGGAGTGGGGGGGCAGTAGCTGTAGTTAGCCACTCTTGGAATCTGGCTTTTCTTTTTAATGTATAAAATCCAAGCCATTTTGGGTTGCTGAGAAGCAGAACATGGAAATTTTACTTTTTTAGTCAACATCTGCCAGAATCCCATATGCTCATGCCTTGCTTATATAATGATGAATCATGGTTTGTCAATGCATAAAAACAAGTGGTGCAAGACAGAACATGGTTACCATCAGCTGTGCTGTTGAGGCTGCTTCTGCCTCCAATCTGAAGCGTCTGCGTTGCCTCTGTTGAGTCAAAAACGGTGGCTTATTAGTAAATTTAGAAGCACAGGTGCTCATCATGACCGTACCTGTAGCCAGCATCCTCTCCCATAATCGGAGTCCAAAAATACAGATAGCTGTAGTAGGAATTGAGGAGTAAGTCTTTTATAAAGCTCATTCTTTGTGTTATGGATTATCAAGTTGGAACTAACTTATGGTGACTCTAATAGGGCTTTTGAAGTTAGTGAGATATTTAAGGACTGCTTTTATGTACCAGTTATGTCCCTAGTGACCAAATGGGGATTTTAAGCCCAGGTCCTGGGTTCTAATCCATTACTCTGTCCACTGCACCGCACTGAGTATGGCAATTGTCAAGCCATGATCAAATCATTCTCAAATATTTTCCTAAAATAAGAATCATTTGGGAAAATCCATTTCTCTCCCAGCTACTGTGAGGATTACTCTGTGGAAACAAACAAGTCTGAAGTGGGGAGGGGGGATGATGCAGGAGTCCTTACTATTCAGAAAGGTTTAAGTATGTCTGTTTATCCTAATGTGAGCTTCTTCAGCTTTGCAAATGGCAAACTAGCTTGCTTTTGTTTGATGATTCAAACAGGGAAACAAATATGCATTTCGTCTGCAAACTGAGTGTGCAGACAGGGGCAGCTGTAAAGGACTGCAGACTTTGGAGAACAAAAAGTTTCATCACTTCCTAATTGTGAAGCTGTTAACTTATTTAGTTCAACTGAAAGTTTATTTCATGCATTTAATAAAGAAGATTGATAGTAGAGAAATCCATCCTGTCTGTCTGTCTGTCTGTCTGTCTGTCTGTCTGTCTGTCTGTCTGTCTTTATTTATTTATTTATTTTGATTGATTGATTGATTGATTGATTGATTGATTGATTGATTGATTGATTGATTGATTGAAGTTATATCCCACACCATCTGGCAACCAGGCCACTCTGGGCGGCTAACAACAATATAAGGCATAATATTAAAAACACGATAAAAATAAATTAATACATAACAAATAGGGAAATTAAAACAGATGGCTTAAAAGAATGGTGAAAAGGGAAGACGAGATCGTAGTGCTCCGGGAAAGCCTGGCAGAAGAGCCAGGTCTTCAGTGCTCTTTTGAACCCATCCAGTGAGGGTGCCAGGTGGATCTCAATAGGCAGGTTGTTCCATAGGCGGGGTACAACCAACGAGAAGGCCCGGTTTCTTGTTCTTTCCCTCCGGGCCTCCTTTGGGGTAACAAGGCCCTCAACCTCCCTGCCTGTGAAGAACGGGTATTACGGACTGGCTGGGAGCAGACGTTCTGATAGGTACTGAAGTCCTAAACCGTTTAGGGCTTTGACTCTTATCATCATAACCTTGAAGTTGATGAGGAAACGAACCATTAACCAATGAAGGACGGCCAGAGTGGGGGAGATGTGCTGGAATTTCTTCACCCCAGTTATTAATCCGGCCGCTGAATTCTGAACCAGTTGAATCTCCGCATCAGCCTCAAGGGTAGCCCCACATTAGAGCACTGCAGTAGTCTGTGGGATCTACACATGGATACGTGGCTGTGGACATGTTTGGTGATTAAAAAAATCCACATCACAAAGAAAACTTTGGTTGGCCATGCTTTCGTCAAAGGGAGAATGTCTTCACGTTATCTGTATCGTTTCACGTATGTGCACAAAGCAAATGTGAAAAATATATATTTTTTAAAAAGGAAATGAAGGGTTTGATGAAAAATTGTGGAAAAGACATGGATGAAGAGACTGGAGCAGCTCCCATACAACATTTAAAAAGCACATAGAGCTGTTCAGCTTAGCAAAATTTTTATCCTATACTGGAAGCCGCCTAGCGTGGCCGAGTAGACCAGATAGGCGGGGGATAAATCAGATGGATGGATGGATGGATGGATGGATGGATGGATGGATGGATGGATGGATGGATAGAGAGATGGATGGATGGATGGATGGATAGAGAGATGGATGGGTGGATAGATAGATGGATGGATAGAGAGATAGAGAGATAGAGAGATAAAATGGTAATGGTAGGCTTGATTAAGGTATGTGGTATGGAGAAAATAGATAAGATGATGTTTTTCCCTCCCTCTTGTAATACTTGAACCTGGTTCATCCACTGAATTTGAAAAGGGAAGGGGCGACCCAACCTAGGCAAAAGGAAGTACAGTATTTCTTCTCATGGTAGATATTTACCCTGTGGAATTCATTCCCAAAAGAGGTAGTGAAAGCCACAACTTGGAGAGTTTTAAAAAGGGAGTGTACTAAACATTCATGGAAGTTATTATATAACCACCAGTGGCTACTAGTCATCCCATATCAGAGGCAGTGTGTCCTCTGTATGTGAACTGATGAATAACGGGAGAGGGAGGGTGCAGTTCTGCTTGCGAGCTCTTTATGGACCCCTGATCGGCCACTGTAGGAGCAGAAGGATGGACGGGCCCGTGGGCTGGGATCTTTGTATGTCCTTATAGCCATGCTGTAAAAGCAACCAGAAACCTAGCATAGACCAAGTGTGGAGGCATTAAAAGGAAGATGTCATCAGATGTGGGTTTATGGGTGTGCACCTATCTAAGTGACTATGGACACAGAAGTTGTTGCCACAAATTGGGAACTGCCATCTTAAATTACAGCCCTGGTTCACTGGAAATGCTACAGGCAATTGCTCAGCTTCCTCACAAATACTTGGAAATGCAGTTTCTTCTGTACACCCTTTCTTCCCCATCCCATCCCTCTGTGTAAAGTAAAGTTTGTTTCCTGGCTTGCTGCCTGTATAATGGGGAAGAGATGATTCCCAAATCACAGTTGGTGTGCCCTGCCAAAGAGACATTCTGCGGCAGAAAAATTTATTTCAGGCAAAGAGCTCACATAATTCAATGTAATTTTCTCCATCTTCCTTTGGGGTACTTCAGAGAGCCCCATGATAGAAAACAGCAAATCCTGGCTAAACCGATCTGTCATGCCACAGACTTCTTGTTTATTATGCACCAAAGTCCACACTGGAAATATACTGGAATAATTCTGTTTCTCTGGTTTTGATGAAGATGTCATCAGATGTGGGTTTATGGGTGTGCACCTATCTAAGTGACTATGGACACA